GCTTGCTGCTCGTCTTTCGTCCTGTTGCTGCTATGATCTGATGATGTTTCTTGCATGCTTGCTGCTCGTCTTTCGTCCTGTTGCTGCTATGATCTGATGATGTTTCTTGCATGCTTGCTGCTCGTCTTTCGTCCTGTTGCTGCTATGATCTGATGATGTTTCTTGCATGCTTGCTGCTCGTCTTTCGTCCTGTTGCTGCTATGATCTGATGACGTTTCTTGCATGCTTGCTGCTCGTCTTTCGTCCTGTTGCTGCTATGATCTGATGATGTTTCTTGCATGCTTGCTGCTCGTCTTTCGTCCTGTTGCTGCTATGATCTGATGATGTTTCTTGCATGCTTGCTGCTCGTCTTTCGTCTTGTTGCTGCTGTAGTCTAATAGTTTTTCTGGCTGTTTGCTGCTCATCTTTTGCCCTGTTGCTTGTCTAAACTGACGATGTTTCTGACTGTTTGATACTGATATGACGTCCTATTGCAAATCTAAATAGATGATGTTTCTCACTGTTTGCTAATAACGTATCTTCCTGATAGTGTTCTAAATAGGTTATGTTCTGACAAGTTTCTGCTGGTTTGATGTCCTATGGCTGTTCCTTTTGGGTGTTCTTTCTGTCTGTTTGCATGCTGATCTGTTGTCTTTGTTCTTAAATAATAATGTTTTTGACTGTTTGCATGTTGACTTGTCCTTTTATTGCTCTGAACTGATAATGTCTCTGACTGTTTTCGTGCTGACTTGTCATGCCACTGATGTTGCTGTACCAAGACTACATTATATAATAGCGGTTTTCTTGTGAAGTCGTTAACAATTCTGTATTATCTCCAGTTCTGTGTCGATGGTCTGAAAGTGAGTTTCTCTATATCTACGGTGGTCCAAACCCAGTAGTGTAAGTATGCCCCCGCAGCCCCAACACTGCGTAGGAGTGTGTGTATGTGAAGAGCTTGACAAACTTAAGAATTGCCGACATGGGGAATAAATGTAAGGGGCTCAATTACTTGTTATGCGGGGGCCTATCTTTTGTAGTTACGCTACTGTCTAAGCCTCATATTTCGAGAAAGCTAAAAAATGTACATTACCCTATCATGAATATCTTCCATATTTTTGATGCTACTTTCAATTGAAACATATTTTTCATTTTTAATTCCATATACTGTAAAAAGTGTTGAAAATTCAAGATGACTGCCAAACTTACCAAAATACCCATTCTACGCGTTGCTACAAATATTCCATATGTTACTAGAATGAAATGCTCTGTAATAATGAAATAGTTTATTTGTAGTTTGAAGAAAAGTCGTGCATATGAAGAAAATATAGAATGATTTTTTTCATTTCCTGTTATTTCAAAATAGAAGATATTTAATGAAAAGCTGTTTTGAAGAATAATAAGTGTTTATATAGTAATCGGAGATACTTATAAGCTATATCAAAGTATCATATATAATAAGTGTTTATATAGTAATCGGAGATACTTATAAGCTATATCAAAGTATCATATATAATAAGTGTTTATATAGTAATCGGAGATACTTATAAGCTATATCAAAGTATCATATATAATAAGTGTTTATATAGTAATCGGAGATACTTATAAGCTATATCAAAGTATCATATATATAATAAGTGTTTATATAGTAATCGGAGATACTTATAAGCTATATCAAAGTATTACATTTGCAGAGTTATTGCTGAAATATATTTTGTCTCTAATATTATCTTTCTGTTGCTGCCGATTTGCATAGTTATTGCTGAAATATATTTTGTCTCTAATATTATCTTTCTGTTGCTGCCGATTTGCATAGTTATTGCTGAAATACATTTTGTCTCTAATATTATATTTCTGTTACTGCCGATTTGCATAGTTATTGCTGAAATACATTTTGTCTCTAATATTAT